ACACGGGAGGTTGAGGCAGGAAGGTTCCCAGTTCAAGGCTAGCCTGGCAGTGAGAGAACATTTCTTAGCATCCCCCACCATCGCCATACAAACTTAAAGTACCAAGTTCTGGGTACAAGATGGGACACCCAGCAGTGCATGATGTGGGGCCAGATGTGGGTTGGGGTGCTATGCAGCTGCTAGGAGAGGACTGGGCGCTGTGCTCGGGTCCTGACCCAGTTCATTCTCGGGTCTCTCCTCCAACACTGCAGCCCATTCTCAGAAGCCCTCACACACACTGCTCAGGCAGTGAGTCTCCTGAGGACAGACGGACCTGTGGGCCCAGGCCTGGGGAGAGGTGGGCTGACTCAAGAGTCGCGCACCCAGGCCTGCAGCTAGGACAGGGAAGCCAGGTGAGGAGCACCGTGCTGGGCAGAGGGACCCAAGTCAGCACAGGCTGGAGAGGGAAGAATGTTGTGAAGGTTATGGTTGCTTTTGGTACTTTTGGCAACGCTGGGGATTGAACCATCAGGGAGCGACATGATGAGGTGAGGCCCTAGGCTGGGAGCCTGCCCTCCTTGGGGAGAAGCCCGGTGGGGAAAAGCGGGAGGGCCAGGCCATACAGTGGCCTGAGGTTCTGGTGGCCCGAGAACCATGAAGGCAGGCAGGTGGCCTGCAGCCCACTGTAACTTCCTGGGAGGAAGCTGCAGGGAAGTTCACAGGGGGACCTCCTTCCCAGCGCCCTCTCTCTGTCCTCTCTGGGAGGATGGGACCCAGGAGGAAAGAAGTGAAAGGCAGCTTGGAGCTGCTCAGTGAAAAGAGCCTGAGCCCCGGTGGTGGAGCACAGCAGGCCCACTTCTCCTCTCACAGCCTCTGAGTGCACAGGGATGGGGTGCAGATGCCGCCTCCACCTCAGAACAGTTGTGCTTGTCTCTACACCCTGTGGAGAACAAGGGGAGGGAAGGCCTTGGCTGTGGCCTGGATCTGAGTCCTGGCTTTCCTCTCATCCCCACCTTGGCTGTGGTTACTCCAGAGCAGGCCTCCGGTTCCTGGCTGAGCCAGGCCTGCTCCCTGAGTGGCGTTTGCATTGGGGAACCAGAGACCTAGGTGATCACTGGTCACATCATTGGTGATGTTTGGGGCTTGGTGTTTGCGGCCCCCTGCAGCACTGTGGGTAGTTCTGTAGCTGAGTGAGCCAGTGCTTTGCTGTTTCCTGGAGGACTCAGGTCATAGCTGGGCCTGGCACTGGTGGCCATGGAGGGTTCCAGGAAGGACTCTCGAGTCAGGGCAGGAGAAGGCCTTGGACACAGGTGGTCAAGAGGGTTGCTTGTCCTGTTGCTTGAGAAGCTGCCTTCAGGCTAGCGTACGACTTCAGGGCTGAGCCTGGTTCCCCCTGCTGAGCTGTGAGAGGACAGGGGGCTTCCTGCAGGACGGGCAGCCTGGCCCAGGGCGCAGGCCGCCTGAGTACACCTGCCTGTTGTGCCCTGTTCTTCCCAGCTGTTGTCATTCGCTGCCCTCCATGTCCCCATGTTCCTGGGGGTGGCGCCTGTGTTTCCTGGGTCCGGGAGAAGTCCCTGCACTGCTGTGGAGCCCGGAGAAGCTCACATCATAGAGCAGCTGTTCACCAGCCCGAGGAACGTCCCGCATGTGCTGTTCTGGCCCCACAGCCATCCTCGTGGAGCCCATGCAGCTGCCAGTCTGTTTCCACAGATTGCCCTCCAGGGCTCCAGCAAGGGAAGCTGTCCATTAGGCGACCCTCAGAGCCTGCATTGTGGTCTACAAGCCCCCGGTCCCATTCTGTAGGAGAAAGAAAATATGACAAATCAGTCATTTCTCTTGGTTCTGGATCCATTAGTCCAGAGTCACCCTTCTCATTGTCTTGTTAGTGTAAGGTGAATTCATTTCTCACTCCCTGAGCACAGTGAAGATGAGGGTCCAGTCTGATCAATGCACTAGCTGTGTGCGGACAGCCACGGCAGTTGCTGCAGGTGTCACAGCAAACTCTTCCACCACCAGTGTTGCAGGTGCTTCTCACTAAACTCCCAACAGTTAGGAAATTGTTAGTGCTCTGAGCTTGGCTGAGGATGAAAAACAATGTGGAATGAAAAACAAATCTCAACATAATAAAATCTCAAACTTTTAAAATTCTTGGTTTGGAAGTTGAGCAGCTGTGTGGGAATAAGGGCAAATATGCTTGTTTATGAACTGTCCTACACTGAAATCTACCAAAGTTAATGTTTACTTTGTATAGATCCATTTGTCTTTTATTTTTCCCAGTGAAAGGTGTATTTTAATAGAGAGCTTTTCATTTTATAAAAAATGCTATGAGTTATGAAAATACAGATTTTGTTTATTCCTTAGAGCCAGGTCATGTAGTGGCCTGAGGTTCTGGTGGCCCGAGAACCGTGAAGGCCGGCGGGTGGCCTGCAGCCCACTGTAACTTCCCGGGAGGAAGCTGCAGGGAAATTCATACAACATTAAAAACCCCAGTGCTTAGTTTTAAACGATAAGCAAAAGGTCTGATGCTGTAGCTGAGTATAGAGCGCTTGTCTAACGTGCACGAGGCCTTAGGTTTGGCCCCAGCACCATGAAAAAGGAAAAGTGAAAAAGTGTAGGAGAGTGGTGAATGCACATTTAAAGCTAGCACATCTTCTTATAAGAGAGAGTTGGGTATTGACTGGAGTGAAGGAGAGATCCTTTCTTTCCATTTTCTCTCGGATATGTGATGTGCTTCTGTGCTGCACTAATGGCTTCACCTCTTCCCTCTTTATCAGTCTTGAACTATTTTACTTAGATCAGTGTTCTTAATGTTTCTGTGTATTCATTTCCTTGTATTTTAAGTATAACTACAAATAGTACTGGGGATTAGATAACACGTACCTAATCTCACCATATGCACGTCACTACTTTGGGTCTGCCCACTCTCCACATTTATAAAACCGGGGAATCGCTGGTGATTTTTGACACGTCTCTTTCAGCTTCTCATCCTTTTGGTTCTGTTCAGCATCTTCAAATTCACCTTTGCCTGAGGAATGTATCTGGGCAATCAGGACTTTTTAATATTCTAAATTTTGCATGCTTGCCTGACTTAGTGTTTCTGAATTGATCTTTTGATTTTCACTGGAATTAGTTCTGTGACTATGTAAATTTGAAAATTAACCTTTAAGGTAACTGGGATCACCTACTTCTAACAATGTTTGTTCCCTTTTTGCTTTCATCTTCTCTATATTTCAGATTGATTAATTTATCTTGTACAATGAGAGTGAGAAATAATACTAGCTAAAGACTTGAATAGAGTTTGGGGGACCTTTTACTTTCACAGTGACATATTATCTGCCATTTCATAATTGAATCAGTTTCAGAATTGAGATTAAAGATCTTAAAAATAACCTAAAAATAATCCCAGCCCGGGAGGAGGAGGCTGGGGTGGCTGTGGCCTGGGCAGGGCCTTCCTCTCTCATTTCATCCCCCCACTGTTAAGTAAAGGGCTGGGATCCATCCCAGCCTCACCTCAGAAATGCTTCCAAGAGTCCCAGGCGGGTCTGGCTGTGTCTGGCAGCCTGAGGTCTAGGCCCTTGACTGTCCTGGCTCCCGTGGCAACTGGGTGGCCTTTTGCCATTGAGCGGGAGAAGCAGGCCTGGCCCTCCCCTGCCCTGACTGGCCTTGGGTGAGAAAGCTGCAGCCCTGGCTGCCCTGGGGTCAAGGCTGTTGCCAGGTCCCAGTGCAGAGTGGCAGCTAAGTGGCCCAAGGCTGATTTTTTTCCCCAGTTAAACTCTGTCCTTGTCTTCTTGTACCCTGGAGAGAGCGTGCCTGGGGTGACTCCAGCCTCAGGGTAAACACTGGTTAGGGCTGGGTGTAGGCAGCAACTGTGGATGGAAACCTCAGGCTCAGCCACACAACCCTGGAGCTGGATCGGATTAAGTCCAGGAGAAGAGACAGGCATACGGGAAGGGCGGGGTACCACCTGTGATATCAGTGCTTCTAGCTGGGGCCTGGTCAGGACATGGCATCCCTGAAGGTGCAGAAAGCACAGTGACTGCTGAGACCGGTGCAGGAGAGGGGATACCTGTTCCACCTCTCTGCACCCTCCAGCATCCCCTGCAGCATATCTTCTTGGGTCCCTGCTCAGCAGGGTGCTGCAGGCTGAGAGTGTCTCCCCTTTTGGGGCAGCTCTCCCTGTGGGCAGATCTGTTTGTGTCATTTCTGGTGTGAGAAATGGAGGTTCAGAATGGCAAGTGACTTGCCCAGGGCCACACAACATTTAAGGGAAAGGGGGTATATACCTGTCAGCCCAGCAGTTTGGGAAGTTGAGGCAGGAGGATTCCAAGTTCAAGCCCAGCCTGGGCAACTTAGTGACTTAGCAAGATACTGTCTCAAAAATAAAAAGAAGAGCTGGGGATGGAGTTCAGTGTGAAGGCCTGGGTTCCCTCCCTGGTACCACCAAAAAGAAAGAGCTGGATTTGAAATGGCCTGGGCTCCTGACCCGTTGTGCTGGGCTGCTGTGCTCCCAAAGGGCTGCAGGCCTTCATACCAAGCTCTGGGATGAATCCCCTGCTCCATACCCCCTCGTCCTTTCCTGCGTGTCCCTCAAGCTCCATACTCCTCCAGGCCTCCCGTTAGGCTTCCCTCCAACTCCCCAGACTGGACAGCCACCCGTGGGGCCCCTGTGGGAGGGGCGCTTAGCAGAAGAGGCCTCCACCAGGGCTCCTGTGGGGGCTGCAGGAGCACATTTCTTCCTTAGGTCCCACAGTCCTGTCCTGGAGCATGGAGGGCGTCTGAGAAATCTGCTATGCTCCCCGGGAAGCGGCAGGTGTCCCCTTCTCTGGGGGATGCTAGCCCTGCAGAGCAGCATGCGCCTGCCACCTGCCTGCTGGTTGCTGAACTCGCCAGCTCACAGGGCTCTGCCCTTAGGGAGGAGGAACGCTGCTCTCAGTCACTCTGGAGTCGCGAGCCTTTCTTCTCCCTCCCTTCCTAGCCCTGGTGGCCCAGCCTTGACCAGGCCTGCCTGCCTCTTCCCGCAGGTCCTGTGGCCCTGTCCTGTGGGCTGCCAGCGCCAGCCTTGCCTATTATCCGGCGACCCCGGCCCCTGGCTTCTGGGCTGGTGACTTCCCCAGCCCTGGAAGATGTTCCTGGTGGGCTTGACAGGGGGCATTGCCTCAGGCAAGAGCTCTGTGCTCCAGGTCTTCCAGCAGCTGGGCTGCGCCCTGATCGATGTGGATGTCATCGCCCGCCACGGTAAGCTGAACGCAGGGAGCCTCTGTCACCCTCCCCTTTTCCTGAGGCTTGGGAGAGGGGCTGTCTGGCAGCCCTGGCCTGAGTCCTGCCCTCTTGGTCTTGCGTTCTTCCTTCTTCCTGGCCCCGTCACCAGCAGGAAGGGTCCGTGCCAGCTGCTTTCCCTTGCTGCTTCCCTTTCTTCATCTTTGCTCTAACAGAAGCACCCCCACCACCACCTCTGCTCATTGGAGTCCTGTGGCTCCAGGAACGACCAAGCCTTCCCTTCGTCCCACAGTCGTCCAGCCAGGGTACCCTGCTCACCGGCGCATCGTGGAAGCCTTTGGTACCAAGGTCTTACTGGAGAATGGTGACATCGATCGCAAGGTCCTGGGGGACCTTATCTTTAAACAGCCTGACCTGCGGCAGCTGCTTAACTCCATCACCCACCCCGAAATCCGCAAGGAAATGATGAAGCAGACCTTTAAGTACTTCCTCCAGGGTGAGAGCCAGGCCTGCAAGGAGGGGCTCATCTGTGGTACGCTGGGGGTCTGGTCAGCCAGGTGGTGTCGGTCCCTCAGCTCTCAAGGACGTGAAGAGACTGGAGGCTCCTGGTGATCCAGGAGTGGAGTTGATCTTCCAGTGGGGACAGCCGATGGACAATGCAGTCACAGACCCGAGGTCAAGTCTCGACCTTGAGGGTTTCTACCTCAGGCCCTCACTGGGTTCCGGGCCTGCAGTCTGGTTCCTCATCTCTTCCAGCTTTGCACAGCTCTCAGGAAGACCTGGTGTCCATGTTAGCACAAACATAAGCTGCAGGACCAGGGATTTAGCTCTGGGTCCACCGCCTGCCTCCAAAGTGAGAGGACCTGAGTTGGATCCCGGGTAGGGAAAAAAAAAATGCTGCCGTTGGAGACAGCTTTAGTTCGAGCTGAGCCTCCTGAGCAAGCCAGGCTGTAGACTGGAGTTGGGGAGCCTCAGAATGGCGTGGGGCTTACTGAAGTCGGGGTGGCAGGGCGGGGCTCTAGGCAGAGGATCATTCACCAGGGCTGTGGGGAAGCCGGACTGCCAGGCCCTGGAGGGAGGGGGCGTTGGAGAAGCAGGACAAAATCAACCAATCAATTAATTATCTAAAGAAGCAGGGGCCTGTGAGCTGATAGCAGGGACCTTCTCCAGGGCACACGTGTGGCTCAGGCTGTTCCCAGCACCGTGCTGGGAGGGGCAACTGAGTCAGCCACCGGGCAGGGGGAGGCTGGCCAGGGCTGACAGACAGGTGGCCTCCCAGCTGAAGGCCTGGCTGCCTGTCTCCCACTGTCAGTCACAGCATGAAGCCTTTCAGTCCTGAGGACCACGGAGCCGTTTAGGCTTTCTTCTGGTTCTTCCTCTGTGTCCGTGGCCAGACCCCTTGTTCTGTCCTACCTCAAGTTCTGTACAGAGTGGAGAGAGCCCCATCCCTAACTCCCTCGGCTGACAGCAGTCCAGAGGAAGGGGTGACTTGTCAGATACCCGTGCTGTCGCCCCGCTCGGCCGGCCCCACTGCTTGGGCCACAGCGGCCAGGCCACTTCGTGCTAGCCGTCCCGGCAGCACCCCTTTACCTCCTCCCCGAGAAGGCCCTGGACTCTGCCTTTGTCCTTCCTCCTGCACCTGTGCCAGGCCCCTCTCATACCACCCTCGGACAGAGCCTTCTGCCTTCCACGCCTGGCCTTTGCCTTCATTCCCAGGCCGGATACTAGCACATCTGCCAGGCCGTCGGGCTGGGGCTCCCCCCGTCCGAAATGAGGTGTTGCATAATGTCACCTGCTCCCCAGGGCTGCCACAGTGTCCTCCCCCAGCCTCCCGCCTCCCCACCCACCACTGTTTAAATAAAAGCCAGAAAGCTCTTTTCAGCTCGATAAGGTGAAAAATGGGGACGACAGCTGTGGCTTCTACAGCCCTGGCTTCTCCCTGATGAGTATAACAAATACAACTGTCAAACTTGGTATAATCAGACGTCAGATAAGATCACCAGCTGCCGGGCAGTCTCCGCAGGCAGACGACATCTTCATAGAGTCAGGGCGTGCGCGGGGCTTATCACGAGGAGGATGACAGCTGAATAGCCCTCTGCCAGGACCGGAGCCCGGCCACCACTCCTGAGGGGGACAGGAGAAAGGACAGCACCACAGGCAGAGAAGAGAGATAAGAGTCCTGGAGGGGACCTGGTCTTTGCTCCTGCTCTGAGCTGGGGCAGGGGTGAGGACCTGCATGGCCGGCCTCCTCTGGAGGGACGGTGGCAGTAACAACCGTCCCCAGAACTCAGTGAACGGCTGTAGTCCAAGTGGGATATGTGCAGGCAGAGCTCATTTCACCTTTCCCAGCATGCTGTGGGCCACTGTGAGGCTCGCAAAGGGCCAAGGTTACAGGTAGGAAGTGGGGGTACCAGCAGCATCCTCGCCCTGAACTCCCTCATCCATTACGAGCTTCTCTTAGGCTTCTGGGAAACAGGGCCTTTCAGCTGAAGCCCCTCTTCCTGTGTCACCTCAAGCGAAGGTGCCGCACAGTATCCCTAGACTGGCACAATAGCCGTCTGGTTTCGTGGTGGAGCGTGTTTGCTGTAGGTACCTGGGCCAGGCACCTGGGAAGAGGCAGTGCCCTGTGCTCCAGCTTTGGTGTCCACATGGGGTAAAGAGAAGCAGGGGCTATGCCCGACCCTCTCCGGGCAGCCCCTGGGTGGGAATGGCCAGCCAGCCCTGTGCCATTTGGTGTCTCAGGGCCAGTACCATGCAGCCCTCAGAGTTCTCCCCAACCGGAGGCACTCGGAGCCTCTGCTCTGAGTGGCATGGAACAAAGTGATGGCCCCTAAGGGTGCTCACCTGCCAGTGGCCTGGCTTAGGAACAGTGTTCCTACACACTGGCACAGTTGACCTTGGGTCCCGGCCTCTCCCCAGGGCGCCGCTATGTGATCCTGGACATCCCGCTGCTGTTCGAGACCAAGAAGCTGCTCAAGTACTTGAAGCACGTCATCGTGGTGTACTGGTGAGTGCAGCAGCCCGGGGGGTGGAGCCTGGAATGGCTGAGTCCTTCAGGCCTCCCCTAAGGAGGCCATGAGAGGGCCAAGACCGGGACCCCTGGGCAGCCGTGCCCTGAGCCCATGGAAACAGCTTCTGTGCCAGAGCCACACACACCTGGGGCCTCCGCCCCTCCAGGGCCCCAGCAGCCCCTGCTGGCTATGGGAGGCGCTTTCCAAACAACTGCGCTATGCGCTCAGCATAAGGCAGCCAGGGAGGCACGGAAGAGAGAACACGCTGGGCCCTGAGATTTGTCGGGGGTCACCCGCCAGCAATGCCTGTGAGCAGACAGCTGCATGGAGGGGTCTGTCAGAGCCCATCAAGGAAGGAGCCTTGTTCTCAGAACCCCTAGGCCAGGAAGAAAAAAAAAAGGAACGCAGGTCTGATGAGCAGGGAGATTCAGACTGACTGGCAGAGAACGTGAGTCACAGTCCCGAGAGACTGAGCAGGTGAGGCTGCAGGGCCTAGCTTCCTGGCGGGTGCCCACAGTGAAACAAACATGGTAGGCACCTGATGCTGCAGGTGTTTGGGGCACCTGGAGGCAGGACCTGACTGCTCAGGGCCCTGGGACCCCACCCTCCCTGCAGCTCACCCTTGGCTGTCGCTTCAAGTCCGGCCTGGGGACACACAGGTGCCCTCAGCTCCCTAGGGCTGTGCCTCCACTGTAAACCTGCACCTCATGCTCTTGTACCCTTCTTGTGAATGGCGTCATTGGGGCCAGGGTGCCCATGGCATCCTTGGGTCCTCTGTGCCTATAGCATGAGTGGACCTTTCTGGAAAGGTCAGAAATGAGGAGCTTGGGTCTCAGAGTGGAGAGAAGCAGAACGGAGTCCTGGGTGGCAGGCGCACCTGCCATCAGCACAGGAGGTTGGGCCCTCGAGAGAGGCCAGAGAGATGAGTGACTATTTGCTGTTACCAAAGGGTCCGCGTATTGATACCGGCAAGCCACACCTGGTACATGGGGACGACATGGGCATTTCCCACAGGATGGGGACCACAGGCTGAGCGGAACACTGCAGGCTTGCAGCTCCAAGGCAAACTGGAGACTGCCTCTTTCACCACCTGACACTGCCAAACCTGATGATTTTTTTCTTTTTCTTTATTTTTTTGTGTGTGTGGAGCTGGTGATTAAACTCGGCCTTGCACTTGCCAGATAGGTGGCAGAACCACTGAGCTAGACCTCCAGCCCCCCATGACTTTGTTAGTGGCACTGGGGATCAATACCCAGGGCCTCGTGCGTGCTGGGCAAGCACTTGCCCTGAGCTGCATCCCCAACCCCAATGATTCAGATTGTTGAGGAATTTTGACAGTTGTAGAGTAATTACATGGGCAGGAATCCTGGTGCCATTAGAGGTACCAGGCCTTAACTCAGCAGTCCAAGAAGGGCCATCGAGCGTGCGGCTCCAGGCTGCTGGAACAAGAGGCACCACAGTCTCAGCCTCCACCTGCCCATGCCGCCTGGGTTCTCAGCTATAGAATGTGTGCTCCTGATGAAGGTTACGTAGGATCCTGTCCTCAACAGGACCTGACAGTTCCTGCCCCTGTCACAGGATGTTCACTGTCATGGAGGGCAGCCTCACTGCCTGACCGGGGCCCAGAGAAGGGAAGGCCTGACCTGGAGTGATAAAACCTCTTGTTTCAGCGCCAAGGATGGTGAAACAGCTGTGCAGCCATACCCTCTTGCTCTGGAGGGCCCGGGCAGATAACAGGCAGAGGACTGTTCCAGGGGACCCATCTGGAGAGCTGGCTGTGGCCACCAAGCTGAGTGGCTCCTGCGTGGCAAAGTCAGGAGAGGGACCTCCAAAGGAGGAGTGCAGGGACAGTGTCAGTGGTGAAAGAGGCAGTTTCCAGTTTGCCTTGGAGCTGCAAGCCCTGCAGTGTTCCACTCAGTCTGTGGTGCCTGGTCCTGTCCCAAGAGTTCGGGTCCAAGTTCTGAGTCCTTGCTGTCCCCTGAAGGCCCTGGGCTTGCCTATCCCCACGCCTCATCTCAGTGTGTAGGGGCCAGGCCAGGGCTCTGTGGCCCTGACGGGTGTTGATGCTGCAGGCCCAGCCCCGGGACCTGCAGGAAGTGTGAGGCTTATGAAGGTGCATCCAGGGACCTAGGATGCATTGATTCCAAGTGATCCAGGCCTCCCTCCCTGTACCCAGGGACCTGCCAGGGGCAGAAAATAGCACCTTCCTCACTGGCATGAGAGTAGGTAACCCCCAGAGCTCCCCCAGCCCCACCCTCTGCAGCGAAGTCCTAGGGTGGCCCTGGAAGGAGACCGTGTCCCCAGTGCCTGTGTCTGCCAGCGGCAGGACAGCTGGGGCCCACAGTGCCGCTTTGCCTGTCCCTAGCAATCGAGACACACAGCTGGTACGGCTGATGGAGCGGAATGGCCTGAGCCTTGAGGATGCTGAGGCCCGCATCCAGGCCCAGCTGCCCCTGAAGGACAAGGTGCGGATGGCCAACCATGTGCTGGACAACTCAGGCAGGTGGAGCGACACACGACGGCAAGCCATACTCCTGCACATGCAGCTGGAGCAGTCCCTGGAGTACCTGCCGCTGCGGCTCGGCATGCTTGTGGGGCTGGCTGGCATTGCCAGCCTCCTCTACCTGCTCGCCCGCTGCCTGCTGCCTTCTCCCTAGCTGGGTGCAGCCACTGCTTGCCCTGGGTCTGGCCGGCCAGCCCTCCTCCTTCCTGCCCCGGCGCCCACTCTGGCTCCTGCGATACAGGCTGCACTGGTTAGACTGGGGCGAATGGCTTGTGGCTCCATGGCCTCCTGGGGTCTGAGGGCTCCCGGGCTTGAGTCCTCCCTTGCTCCTGCCCCATCAAAGCCAGAACCTGCATGGACTGGGGAAAAGCCTTTTGGACGAGTGCTTCCGCTCCCAGGGGTAGGGAGGCTGTGGCCAGGCAGCCACTCCCCACTGGCTGCCACCAGGCCTCCCCTGCAGTGACTACAGCCTGAGCTCTGAGCACCCACAGGCCCTGCTGCTCCTCACCCTGTGCCTCCCTCCAGGTGCCCTGGCCTGGGACACCCACTGCCATCTACCCCTGCCTGCCTCAGTGGCTAACCCAGCGCCTGGCTGACCCGGTGCCCTGGGAGCCACTCTGCTGTGTTTCCCATAATCCATGGGTGTTACCAACTCAGAGCCTTGGCTTCTGTGGACTGTGGGCCTCGTGGCTGCTCCTGCACAGAGCCGGCTTCTTGGGGTGGTCAATAAAGTGTGGTCCAGACACTGAGGTTGCAGCCCTGGTGGGTGACGGTGTGGGGTCCCCTGCCCACTTCATGCACTGCAGCCCCGGCCCAAGAGCACCTGCCAGGGCGGCAGGGTGCACCCTAAGCGTCCCAGCCAAGTCAGACTGGAGTGGGTGCCCTCTGGCAGTGCCTGAGCCTGCTGCTGTGTGGTCCTTCGCCTGGCTGCCTAGTAAGGCCAGAAGTGAACATGACGAATGTGCCTGCCGCAGTGGCCACATTTAATGTCCCTTTCCAGCCCCACGCACACCTTGGAGACAGTTCATTAACTCCCCGTGAGCCCAAGGAGCAGAGAGGCTGGGCTCTCCGGGAGCTGCAGGACCAGGAGCGGAGGTATTGAAGGGACTCCTCTAGTGCCTGTGGGTGCGCCAGCTGCGCCGCTTGTGGGCCACAGGAGGTGGAAGGCTGGGCCCTGGAAGGAGGACTCCACTTGGGTCACAGTGCTGTACCTGTACCTCTTAGGGGCAGCAGGGCCTGGGGGTGGGTGGCCCAGCTGTCTCCTGTGCTGTGACCTCCGTCTCAAGTAGCCTTTGTGATGCTCACGTCGTGGGACCTCCTACGTGGAGGATGGAGAAACACGTGGCAGCTGAACTCCCAAAGAATCCACCAAGTTTGCAGCTGCTTGTCACGGTGTGGCCCCAGGCAGCCCGCTGTTCCCAAGCCACTGTGTAGCCAGCAGATGGCAGCAGGCACCCGGGCTGACGCCCCCTGGGCAGCGCAAGTCTCAGCCTCTGTTCTGCTGCCCCCTGTCCTGGGCACCTTATCTCGGCCCGGGCCCCCTAGAACCATGTGTGCCCAGCCCAGCTGGCCCAAGGGAGCTGGCAGAGTCTTGCAATTCACAATCTTGCCAAGTGGCCCCCAGACAGGTAGCCACCAGCTCGGTGTTCCTCCCTTGACTCTTGGGCAGCCAGTGGCCATCCTAGGTGTTCGCCTCCGTCCTTGGGGGACACGGGAGGAGCAGGATGGCTCCTTTTCCTGCCTCCCCGCAACCCAGGCTGCACCCGGCTGGGCCGGCACCTCCTCCTTCCCACTGCCTTCCTCACCACTCAGATTCCAATGCAATTCCCAGCTAACCAGCACGTCAATAAACAAGTCGGCCGCACAGTGCCAGCCAATTACAGGAAATCATTCCACTCCACAGCTCAGCGCTCACCCTTGGGAGGGAGGGAAGGAGGCTGGTGGGAGGTGAGGGGCTCCAAGATGTCCAGCCCCAGGCTCTGCGCCAGACTGGCTCCTGTGCTGGGAGGCTCAGGCCTCAAGCCAGAGAGAGGAGAAGAGCCGGGGAGAGGAAGACACTGGGGGCCGAGGGCCCTAGGGGTGCGCAGGGGAGGCCTGTGCAGACGCTGAGGAGAGGAGTGGTCGAGGGCCCGGAAGCCAGGGATCTTCGAGACCTACACCCCACGTGGACCGCACCGAGGGGCTCCTAGGACCAGGGTGCTGGAGGAGAGTAGCGCCAGCTGTCTGCATGCAGGTGGTTGGAGTGCAGGCGGGGACAAGATCTCCTCACTCACCTTCCAGTCCCTCCTCTGGCTCCTAAGCAGTGTCCACTTGGTGCCTGGCTTCTCAGCTCTTTGTGGGGCTGAGGCAGGAGGATCTCAAGTTCAAGGCCAGCCCAGACAATTTAGACTGTCTTAAAAAATAAAAGGGGCCAGAGCATAGCTCAGCGGGAGCGTGTGTGGTATGCAGGAGACCTGGTTCCAATGCAGGCTCCACCTAGCGGAAAGACCTTGAGTCCCCACACTTGCCCCCGTCTGAGTCCTCCCTTCCCATCCCCCCACTGTCGCTGTCCCAGAACTGCCTTCCAGTGAGCAGCTCTCCTTGCCCCCACCACATGGGTGACCTTGGAAGGCAGGAGCCCCCCCACGGACTCCCTCTGCGGGGGAACTGAGTAACTGTGGGACCCTGGCAGGAACCCCTCTGCTTTCAAGTCCCTCCTCTGGCTCCTAAGCAGTGTCCACTTGGTGCCTGGCTTCTCAGCTCTTTGTGGGGCTGAGGCAGGAGGATCTCAAGTTCAAGGCCAGCCCAGACAATTTAGACTGTCTTAAAAAATAAAAGGGGCCAGAGCATAGCTCAGCGGGAGCGTGTGTGGTATGCAGGAGACCTGGTTCCAATGCAGGCTCCACCTAGCGGAAAGACCTTGAGTCCCCACACTTGCCCCCGTCTGAGTCCTCCCTTCCCATCCCCCCACTGTCGCTGTCCCAGAACTGCCTTCCAGTGAGCAGCTCTCCTTGCCCCCACCACATGGGTGACCTTGGAAGGCAGGAGCCCCCCCACGGACTCCCTCTGCGGGGGAACTGAGTAACTGTGGGACCCTGGCAGGAGCTCGAGGACCCAGGACCCTTCCCTGCAGATGCCCAGCTGGGCCCGCATCCCTTTGGGCACCCGAGGGGTCTGGTGGGTGCAGGGGAGGAGCCACACCTCTGCCCAGCACCTGGGTGCCTGGAAGAGGTGAGGCTGGTGCCAAGTTCCTCTGCTAGGGTTGAGGCTGGGTCGGCCCTGGCTTGGCTTCCATTTGCACCCGTGGGCGGCACCCATGCTGCTTTGCTGGCCCGCAGCTGTGCACCCACGGTCCCTCCCATGGGCCAGGTGCCCAGGCCCTGATGTGCAAGCACAGTGAGCCCGTTGGCTCAGGCCATTGACTGGCCGCCTCCCTTCTTGCTGCTCGCTTTTAATTGAAGTTTGTTTGAGCAGAGCACCAAACGGCAGAAGCAGAAGCCAAATATTTAGTTGCTGCAAATTGGCACCTGCAGATCCATTACCCGGGTCGGCCATGGAAACTCAGTGTGGTGCCCAGTCCCCGCCATGCACCACAGCCTCATATGCGGCCGGCAGGGGACAGATTTCCAGTGGAGGAGGGTCCCTGAGAAAGACTGGCCTCGTGGGTCTGGCCCCGTCCCAGAAGCTCACTGCTGGGTGACCTTGGGGAGTCTGCTGTGCTCCCATCTGTATGTGGGGACAGCAGTCACCTTGTGGGGCTGACAGCAGGGAGGGACCCAGGGCCTGGCCCATGGTGGCTTCTGCCATGGAGTTCCTGCCGGGTGGGGACCTAGAGGGCAGGCAGTGGTCAAGCCGAGGCCCAGCCCCCGGCCCCACAGTACCCAGCAGGCCAGGCCCTCCAGGGAGAGCTCTGGCCCAGCCCAACGGTAGGAGGCAGTCGAGACCCCACAGCTGCGGCCAGGGAGGAGGGAAGGGCCATCCCGCCTCTGGAGGGGATGAGGGGTAAGGTGGCAGAGCAACCCCCACATCAGCCGGTGCTGATGGGGAGCCCCTCCTTCCATCCTACTGCCATTGAATCCCTTGGCACTTTAAGGGTGGCAGGGCTTAGGCGGGGGGTTGAAAGGTTGTGGGATCCTGGCTTCCGACACAGGGAGGGTCTCAGGCACCCCTGCCTGGCCAGGACCCCCTCAAGGCATCAAACCCAGGGTCCCGGGGGTTCGCGAGGCTGACAGGAATACAGCACCCCACTCCCCTGCCCCGATTTTCCCAGCTGTGAAGTGGGCCCGCCATTCTCCCAGCTGTTTAGAGGGTGACTTCTAGGTGGGTGAGCCCACCCCCACTTCCGCTCGGATCCTACCCATGTGCAGTGCAGAACCCCACACCGAGCCGGGAGGCCCTCTGACAGTGTGCCTTACCTCTTTCTGCCTCCTCTGGGAGGCAATAACGAGTCCTTAGGGTAGGTGACGCCACAGTATTTAAAAAATACCCAGAGCGGGTGGGGAAGGGCAGGGATTACCTTCAGACACAATGCTCTTCACACTAAACATCGTGGCGATAAATATAGCTGAGTAATTCTTTTTTCTTCTTGGCAGGGAGAAAGGGTGAGTCCGGGCAGAAAGGCAGAGGGACCCGAAAATATAAATCAATATGTGACTTTAATATATGTGCTCTCGCTGGCTGTGTGTGCTGGGGATTATTAGTAACCTTGATTCCGGCTCAGTGTCCATGGGAGGCTGGGGACATGCAGCCCCCAGGGAGGAGGAGAGAAATTAGGAAGCCAAATTCTCTTCCTGATTGACACCTGGGTAAACATTATCCTGGCAGAAGGGGAAGAAAAAGAGATCAATGCCGGGTATTTTTATCACATTCCAGGGATGGATGGGGAGAAATTAAAGAAACAGTCATCTAAGGGGATCAGGCCCCAAGGTGGGGCGGGGACACTGGGCAGGAGACCTCTGCCTCTGGGGGGCGTGTTTCTGGGGTCCACGCAGATCCCGAGGCTGGCAGCTGGTGTGCAAGGCAAGTGTGGAGGGGCCCTCGGGCACCTGGGATGGAGTGCAGAAACCCTAGCCCACCCTGCTGGCTCTGTGACCTTGACCAGGGCGTGTGACCCCAGAGTCCCTCTCCTGCTCTGCAGTGGCAGGTAGGGGGCCACAGCCAGCTTGTCTGGGCTCTGCACAGGGCAGGGCACTCGAGGTGGGACCTTGTAAATGTTCTGGAAGCCACGTTTAAAGGAAAAGAAACAGGTAAACATGTAAAACTAATTCAAATGGTATTTTCAAATTTAACCGAATATATCTAAAATACCATTTTAGCATGTGGCTCTGGTCACTTTCTCTCTCTGCTGGTTTTGCAGTACATAGTCCAGGCTGGCCTCACTCTCATGGTGACCCTCCTACCTCAGCCCCCTGAGTGCTAGTATTACAGGCGTATATCACCAAGCTTGGCTTCTAGTCACATTTCAGGTGCTCAGGAGGGTGGGCTGGGCACTACCATAGGGGCCGGCATCATTCTGGGATAAGAAGCCACAGGGTAGAGTTCCTGCCTGGGACAGGACAGCCTGGACTCCCTGTTCTAAGGGAAGACAGTGGCCCGCAGGGTGCCCAGCTTGCCGGCAGGACCTAGCTCCCCTGTCTGATCCATGGTCCCACGGGCTGTGCCCTGGACATGGTCCGTCCCTGGTGCCCCCCATATTTCTGCAGCCCTGAGCACAGGTCAGGAAAGAGGGAGGGGATGCAGGTCCCTCCAGGCTGCCCTCCCTGGAATTTCACCTGGAATGAGGGGTGCAGTGGAGACTGGGAAGGGTACAGCTCCCTGAGGGCCACATAGAACCGGCCACGCCTGGACCCTGGAGCTGGGGGAAGGGGCTGAAGGGCTGCATCTAGGCTTCTGGGCAACGGGCAGGGTGTTTGTGTGGTGGGGGCAGCTCTCAGGCAACTGGACATTCACTGCTGTGACCAGGCATGGAGAACAGGGTAGAGGCCAGTGCTCCCATGGCTGGGCAGTGGCCAGTGGCCCGGGATCCTCCCTGCTCCTGCAGCCTTGCCCGAGTCTGGTCTTTTGCCCTTCTCTACTTCAGGGGGCCCTGAGAGGTCAGATCTAAAGCTTGGGGTCCAGCACATGGGCCCCTTTGGTGTTTCAGTCCCACTTGTTAGCGTTACCAGAAGCAAAGCCTGGTGACTGTGTGCTTTCCAAGCTGAGGGTCTGAGCTTTGGTCAGGGCTGGGAGGATCTGTGACCCCAGAGCACGCTTCCACTGCCACACACACAGGACAGTCTCTCACGCCGGGCGGGACCAGCCTCCTCCCTCCTCCTTCCTGATCTGCGCTCAGGGCTGTGGAAATGCAGGGGCACCAGGGATGGACCATGTCGCCCTTTCCCCACACGAGTGTCCTCCGTGCGTCCTTCTTCCTCTCCGCACCTGTCCTGCTGAAACCCTACCCACTCTGCAGAGCCTGCATCAGGTCCCTGTCCAGCGACCCTTCTGGGAGCCCCGCACTGGCCCTGCACCCTGTCTCACTCTGGTCACACACTGAGGGTGAACCCCGAGGGCCACGTCTCTACCCCACACTTCTCCTCCCCAAGGTGACGCTGGGGTCAGTTGTGAGAAGGAGGAGGAGGAGATGGCAAAGCCCGAAGTGAGAAGCACGAAGTGAGCCCCTCCGGCCCCTCCACCCTGCCAGTCCAGATGTCCAAGTTGGAGGCCCAGCTGCACTGCTGACTGCCTGGTTCTGGGAGCCCTCAAGTCCTGGACAGAGGACCTGCCTTTTTTGTTGTTGTTTATCTTTTTCTCCTTTCCATTCCATTAAAATAAGGATTTCAGACAGCTTCAGAGACACAGAAGACAGGACAAACATCGAGGGGGTGGCTGCAGGCTGCATCTCCGACACCCCACCCCAGGGCACCTTTCAGGTATCCAGCACCTCATTGAGGGACCCCGGCCTCGTGCCTGGGCTGTTCCCTCGCACCCCATCTGCAACCACAGCACATCCCAGCTGTCTGATTAACTCAATTGATTAATTAAGCTCTAATGAGAGCTGTGACTCACCCTGCAGCTGCTGACCAGGCGGCCACTGTGCCAGGAAGGGCAGCGGAGCTACTGGCCGGGGCGTAGGGAGCCCTGGGGACAGGAAGCTCAGTGGCGGGTGTCACAGCTGGTGGGGAGCATGGAGCTGGCCCATGGCTAGGTCTCCTGTAGAGCACCCAGGTTGGGAAGCGGGTCACCCCACTAGCTGGGCCCAGGTGGGGGCAGAGCAGATGCTGATTGGCTGAGAGGTGTGGGATACCCTGCCCCAACTTGGCCCCTGTCACTGTGCACCCAGTGACCAGGGCCACATGGAAGGGGACCCCGTGGTCGAGCCACAGCTGCTGCTGCACCCAGCCATGTGCTCAGACGGCCCCGCTCGGGCCAAGCCCCCAGGGATCTGCAGAGCGAGTCCCGGACACCTGGCCCTGACGGCCCCCTGTTAACAATAATAATCAGGCCAGTACAGTATTGTACATCTTTGCCTGTCCTGTCCAGAATCCTGTGAGGCAAACTTGGTTCTTTCTTGCTGCCCAGGCTTTGTACATATTCAGTCTTTGCCATGGCCGAATATCAAGCACCACCGAGCCACATGCCTAG